AAACTTTCTGAGTTTATGTTGTGACTAGGTTTAGTCATAAGTTTAAAGTCTTTGTAACTAGAGAGTCACAAAGTGGCTTGTGATAAGTGTATCACAAGTTAGTTAAGTTGAATCCTTTGTAATAGAGGTATTACAAAGTGGCTTGTAATAGTGAGATTACAAGTTAGTGAAGTTGAAAGCCTACAAGTGTAGGTTGTGGTTCTTGTCCCCTTGTGTGAGATTTTTCCACGTAAAAATTCCTTGTCTCTTTTACTTACTGCTTCATAAATATTCTCAGTAGAAACTCATAAAGGATCAGGTTCTCTATAGTTTGGTGGACTCATATAAGCTAATAGACTTGGGCCACGTCAATATCGTGGTGGTTGACGAAACAGAAAATCGTTGCTGCTCTTGGCCCATTAACATTTGTAGTGTTTTTGGATGGTAGCAAACGACTGTTGATGATTGTTAGCCAACACTTAGATTCCCAAGTGAGAGATTGGGAGTTTAGGGTAATTCTCGGCTTTATCCATATTGGATCCCGGCTAGCCACACATATTGTTTGACAAATTGGTTGCCACCAGACAGGTTTGCGCTGATAAGCTTGGTAATAATCTGTCTCTCCAGTGAAGACCGACAACCTGTACACTAAGCGAATGGCCTCAAGAGACACATCCACCGGGGTATTTCGTATCGTGATAACCCTCTCAACATGTTTTGGGCAGTTCGCATAAAATTCCCTTACCATCAGTACATTGCCCTCTTCCGGTTTATTAAAGAAGATGTACAGCTGACGCCTCCTCAATTCTTCATAGATACTTGGGCATTCAACTTGCAAGGCATGCCTATCAATGTGTACTTCAGGCAACAGCTTCTTGGATGTCTTTGCAGTAAACCTATCTTGAGCCACTTTGGAGACAAACCGAGTGCGGTCAAACTAGCTCAAACTAGCCTGAGCTCGAGCTCTGACTGAACCTCCTGGCCCACTAGTGGAGGAACCTGTGGCACGTCTTTTCCTTGATTGATGCATTGTACCTACCAAAATAAGGCTACCATTAGTGAGGGTTTGAGTTGTATGAACCATGGGTGATTACTAAGACTTCACCACCACCATGGTCACATTAGCCATTACAGCTCAATTGGGGCAATTTCACAAGCACCTGATGTGCCTGAAGCTATGTTTTAACACACTTATCCCATAAAAGTACAAACTCTCCCTCCAAATCAACCACAATCACTTCACAACTCCACCCCACCATAATGAACTTCACACAACAACACCATGCCCTTCTCTACTATATTCTATACATTACCCACTAAAAAGAAGAAAAGAAAACAAAAAATTTAACTATAGATACTACAACAACTCAAACATTAAAATTGCTAAAGATAAGGGGGAGAAGAAGAGAGAAGGAAATCATGACATACCTGGTTCTTGTAGAGTTGGAGCGTAATGGATGTTGGGGAGCAGGGAGTTGGAAGTGTATGTGTGTGTGGGAGAGGAATGAGTGTGTGAGAGATGGGAAGAAAAAGAAGAAATGGGCGTGGGGTTAGGGGTTTAGAGTAAGAGAAGTGGGGTGGGGGAAGTGGGGGGCGTTTAGGTTTTATTTTTAGTGGGTTTAGAAGAGAAAAAGAAAATAAAATAAAATTAAAAATAAAAAAAATTAATTACAACTTACTTGCGCGGCAGAATGCTCGCGATTCACCGCGGTCGTGCCGCGGTCGCAGTGGACAAAGTAAACAAAACAGAATAGGTCGAATTCACCGCGATTGCGGTGGCCCAGAAACAGAATAGTTGAATTCCGGAAAAAAAAAATTATTTATTTATATTCTTTTTTCCCCTTTTTTTAATAAAAGGTTTAGTTTCATACACATCAAGTACAACATCAAAACAAAAGAAAAAGAAACAAAAGAAAACACGGGTTGCCTCTCATGCAGCGCCTGATTTAACGTTGTGGCACGACGTAGGCTCATATCATTACTCCTCATTTGTGTATTAGGGCTCCTCTAACGTTATCACCATGTTGTCCTTTTTTTTTCAGTCATTCCAAGGTAATGTTTCAACCTCTGCCCATTCACCGTGAATTTGTTCGTCCCATTTTCAGATTTTATCTCCACAAGTTCACTTGGGAACATTTGCACCACTCTAAATGGTCCTGACCATTGGGACTTCAACTTACCAGGGAACAACCTCAATCTTGAGTTATATAGCAACACTAATTCTCCGGATTCGAAGTTCTGATTCAAGATGTGCTTGTCATGCATCAATTTCATCCTGTCTTTATATAGTCTAGCACTCTCGAATGCCTGGAACCAGAATTCCTCAAGCTCATGCAACCAATTAACTCTGTTGGTGCCCACTGTCTCCATGTTTAAGTTCAGCTACCGCAATGCTCACGGTGTTTTGTGTTCGAGCTCAACCGGAAGGTGGCATGCCTTTCTAAATACCAACTTGTATGGTGACATACCAATTGGAGTTTTGAAGGTTGTGCGGTATGCCCACAATGCATCATCCAGCTTCTTTGCCCAATTAGTTCTTGTTGCATCACTGTTTTTGAGAGGACACTTTTGATTTCCCTATTTGACACTTCCACTTGCCCGCTCGACTGGGGGTGATAAAGGGTGGTCACCTTATGACGAACTCCATACTTTTCCAATAGTCGTACGAATGCTCTATTACAAAATGGGTTCTACCATCACTGATTATGGCTTGGGGTGCCAAAATGTGTGAAGATGTTTTTTCTTTAGGAAACTGGTCACCTCTTTCGCATCATTGGTTGGGAGAGCAACTGCTTCGACCCACTTGGAGACATATTCAACGGCAACCAGTATATATTTGTTACCGTATGAGCTGACGAAAGGCCCCATGAAGTCGATCCCTCACATGTCAAACACTTCCACCTCTTGGATTGTGGTCATTGGCATCTCATGACGATAGGGATATGTTGCCCGTCCTTTGACATTCATCACAGCTTTTGACCCAAACATGGGCATTCTTGAACAATGTAGGCCAATAGAGGCCTGATTCCAGCACCTTTGCTGCTGTCCGAATTTCTCCAAAGTGTCCACTATATGGTGAAGCATGGCAAACCTGCAAAATAGAGGGTTGATCTTGCTCAGGGATACATCGCCGGATCATGTTATCAACATATATTTTGAACAATAAAGGTTCATCCAAATAATACGCCCGACAATCATGAAAAAAAAAATTGTTTGAATTGAGGAGAGATCATGGGGTACAATACCACATGCTAAGTAATTAGCAATATCAGCATACTATGGTGCCTCCTCCATTGTTGCAACAAGTAATTGCTCATCCGGGAATGTCTCGATGATATCTTTAACCTCCATTCTCTTTTTTGCCCCTTCCAACCTCGAAAGGTGGTCTGCTACTTGGTTGTCTGACCCCTTTCGGTCATGAATCTCCAGGTCAAATTATTATAGCAATAGAACCCAGCGAATCAAGCGGGGCTTTGACTCCTTCTTTGTTATCAAGTACCTAATGGCCGCATGGTCAGTAGAAACAATAACTTTCGATCCAATCAGGTATGACCTGAATTTGTCGAAGGCAAACACTACAGTGTGCATTTCCTTTTCTGTGACCGTGTAGTTCAGCTGTGCACCACTAAGCGTCCTACTTTCATAGAAAATTGGGTGCATAATTTTCTCTTTGCGCTGCCCCAAAAATTGCTCCTATAGCGTAATCACTGGCATCGCACATCAGCTCAAATGGTTTCTCCCAGTTGGGTACAACAATGATGGGTGCAGTCACCAATCTCTTCTTCAGCTCCTCAAATGCTTACCTGAAATCATCAGAAAATAGAAAGTGCTGGTCCTTTTCAAGCAGCTTACATAAGGGGTTAAAATTTTTTGAAAAATCCTTGATGAACCGCATGTAGAATCCGGCGTGCCCAAGGAAACTTCTCACTGCTTTAACTAAAATGGGTGCTTAGAGTTTCTCAATCACATCAACTTTTGCATGGTCTACTTCAATCCCCTTTTTGGACACTCTATGCCCCAACATTATGCCTTCTTATACCATAAAATGGCATTTCTCCCAGTTCAGCACCAAATTTGTCTCCACACATCGTTTGAGCACTCTTTTAAGGTTCTGAATACAATTTTCAAATGAATCTCATAGAGAAATCATCCATAAACACCTCCATAACGTCTTCGACTATGTCGGTGAAAATGGATAGCATACACCGCTGGAATGTGGCCGGTGCATTGCAAAGTCCGAAGGGCATCCTCCGAAAGGCAAAGATGTCATATGAACATGTGAAGGACGTTTACTCTCTATCTTCTGGGGATATTGAGATCTAATTTTTCCCCGAGTATCCATCCAAGAAACAAAAATGGGATCGCCTAGCTAACCTGTCCAACATCTGGTCAATGAAGGGCAAGGGAAAATGGTCCTTTCGGGTGGCTGCGTTTAATTTCCTGTAATCCATGCAAATCCACCACCATGTGACTGTACGAGTTGATATCAACTCATTCTTCTCATTTTGTACAACTGTCATTCTACCTTTTTTCGATATACACTGGACGAGGCTTACTTAATTGCTGTCAGAGATGGGAAAGATGATGCTCGCATCCATCCACTTGATTACCTCCTTTTTCACTACCTCTTTCATATTCGGGTTCAGCCTTCATTGATGTTCTTTGGAAGGTTTGTGCCCTTCTTCCAGACGAATCTTGTGCATGCAGACGACCGAGCTAATACCCTTTATGTCTTCCATGGTCCAACCAATGGTAGTTTTCATTCCTGTAACACCTGTAGTAATTGTTCTACCTGCACAGCTAGCAACCTAGATGATATAATAACAGGCAAAGTAGAATTGGGACCCAAGAAAGCATACCTGAGGTGGGCTGGAAACGGTTTCAGCTCTAGTTGTGGTGGTTCCTCTATTGAAGGTTTTGCAGGTGGTGCAACTCTCTTTTCTAAGTCAAGGGGCTCGAACTGAGGTTCCCTCTTCCAGAATCCTTGGCCTTCGAGTGCCATAACCCACTCTGCCAACCCTTCACCATCCATCCTCTCTAAATTTGTCAAGCAAGCTCCCAATGGATCTTTGGCATTCAGGGTCGATCACATCCATAGCTTCCACTAGTGAGCAATTTGCATATTCACTGGGTCTCCTCATGGATTGTTGAACGTTGAATATTACTTCTTCATCGTTCAAACTCATTTTTAATTCCCCAGTTTCACAATCAATCAACACTCTCCCAATGGCTAAGAATGGCCTCCCCAGAATGATGGGTATCTCCTCATCTACCTGGCAGTCTAGAATAACAAAGTCTGCAGGGAATACAAACTTTCCCACTTGTACCAGCACATCATCAAGAATCCCCATCGGCCTTTTAATCGTGCGGTCATCCAGTTGCAATAGCATCGAAGTCGGTATAGCTCTACCAATGCCCAGTTTTGTATATATTGCCAAAGGCATCAAGTTTATGTTGGCTCCTAAGTCACACAATGCTTTTTTCAAAAGCATAACTCCCAATACTACATGGAATAGTGAAGCTACCTGGATCAGACATCTTTTGAGCCATAGGTCTTGTCACTACCGCGCTGCATGTCTGTGTCAGAGTTACTGTGGACAGGTCCTGAAAATCAAACCTCTGTGACATCAGGTCCTTCATCATTTTTGCATAGCCTGGCATTTCCCTCAAAGCATCCATCAGATGGATATTCAATTGAATCTGACAAAGCATCTCCGTGAATTTCCTTTATTGATCTTCTTTCTTTTGTTTTGCCAGTCTCTGAGGGAATGGTGCAGGCATCACTCTTTGTCCACTGCTTGCTGGCTGTTCTTTGTTGGAATTTTGTGGCACAAGAGGTACCACCTGTTTTGAAACTTGTTCACTTTCTTTAGCCTTACCTTTATCAACTTGAGCCTGTTCAACCACCACTTTAGTGAGTTCTGCTGATTCATCTATCTCTAATGGAACTGGAGTGGCCGGTGTAGTCTCTCTTCTGGATTAAGCAACTTCTTGCTCACTATCTAAATCTCTCCCATTCCGGAGACTTACTGCCATCAGCTGATTCGGGTTTTGCTCCTTGGGGTTAATGTTCGTGTCGGCTAGCAATGTTCCCTAGGGGCGGTCATTTAAGGCCATGGACAGCTGCCCCAGTTGAGTTTCAATACCCTTAATTGTTGAGTCATGCGCTGCCAACTTTTCCTGCATCATACCATTTGTTCAAATGAGTTGTTGTAGCATACCCCTGATTTCTACCATATTGCCATCCTGTTGCTGATGAGGTGGCTGATATGTCAACTATTGCTGGTGCTGCTGTTGATAGCCATGTTATCTCTGATATGGCACCATTTGTCCTTGGGGCCACACACCTCCAGGTTGTGGCATGTTTGGTCTGTACTGCTGGTTGGGTGTTGTTCCCCATTGTTGTCCTCCTTGCCTTTGACACCTAAAATTATTGACATAATTCATATCCTCTCTTAACATTGGTTGTCACCTTCTCCACTCCATGAACACACATAAGACTGATTAATGCAAGATGTACATAGTCTTCCATTTGTTGTGTCAATGATATGCACTTTCTTTGTACCCATCTCATCAATCTTCTTTGTCAGTATACTCATCTGAGTCATGAGTGTGGCTATGTTCTCTGCATGTGAATTATTTGGGTCAGGAAGAACTGAATGCACTATTGGTGTCAGGGTCGTACCTCTCGTCATCCACTCCAAATTCTGGGACATCTTGTCAAGAAGGATTTTACACTCCGTGAATGTCTTCTCAGAAATGCACCCCCAGCTGAAGCATCTACATTGGTTTTTAAATTGTCTGTTAACCCCATGTAGAATCTCTGGTCGAGCATCTGGTCTGGAATACCATAGTGGGGACATATCACTAGCATCTCTTTGAACCTTTCCCAAGTTTCCTGCAAGGTCTCAGTGGGTTGCTGCTTGTACTGCAATATCTCATCAATCTGTCTTGCAGTCTTGTTGCGCGGGTAAAATTTGTTCAGGAACTACTTGACTAATTCCTCCCAAGTGGCAATGGAATTTATTGGGAGTGAATTCAGCCAAGTTTGTGCTTCCCCAGTCATAGAGAACGGGAACAATAACAGCTTGATGGCTTCTGGGATCATATTTGGCTGCCTTTGGCACACAAATCGACAGAAAATTTTTCAGGTATTGTTGAGGGTCTTCAATGTATGACCCGGAGAACAATCCCTTATTCTGCAAAAGATGCAGCATGTTGTTAGTGATCTGGAATGTCTCCGCTTGTATTTGGGTCACAGCAATGGCGATGGCCAGGTTGTCATCTGTTGGTTGTGCCCAATCATAAAGTGCAGCTTCTGGCACAAGAGGTGCCACCACTCTGACGTTTGGGTCATCTTGATCATTCATGATGTTCCCGTTGACGTTATCTGCATCACCCATTTTGATTTCAATTTGTTCGTTTTGTTGCAGCTGTTTGCTCTTCCTGTTAGCCCATTTCAATGTCCGAAATGCTTTCTCGGGATCTGAGAGTCCCTCAAAGAGTTTACCAGTTCTCAAAGAGCTTCTAGGCATGCACCTGAGTTACATAAGAGTTCAACTGTGAGAATTTCAATGAAAATATTTTTAACACTACGGAAAATTGATCTAAACTAATAATCCTAGCAATTATTCAAAGTTACAGTAAATAACACCGTTAGTTCCCCGGCAGCGGTGCCAAAATTTGATCACGCCCAACTATGCCTTATAAAAGATAAAGCGGTCGTTGCAAATATAATCTGGTTTACAATTCTGGAGTCGAATCCTCAAAGAACTAACATATCTATTACAACTCTTAGTGATGCTAGTACAAGCTCAAACAATTTTCAGATGCAAGATTTTTATCAATAAATATTGGGTTTCGTTTAACTAAAGTAAAATGATATTAAAACTAACAATATTTCAAATTAAAGATAATTCAATTGTAAAAAGATCTAGGGTATTGATTCCCCAATTGCTAGTTTAATTCTTAACTCTTTTACTATAATCTCGCCGTAATACTCTATGAGGATTATGAGCTATGGGTTATCGCAATTATCTCTCGATCAACTACGATAATTTACTAGAGCATTCTCTGGAACTACTTTAGCTGATAATTTATGCAGCTCTGAATTATCCCACCAAAGTTTTGTTATCTCTAATCCCACTTTTAAATTCAAGTAATGAATCTCTTCAATTATCCAAAAGTGGTATTGTTCAATAACAATCTAACCTAGTATTCTTTCTCAAGCAACACAAGGCAATTAGACACGATTAATTAAGGGCTCATTCAATTAATCACCATACAAAATATAGTTGAACAATCATATAATAAACCCGACTCGATTATAACAAAACTGAGTCAAAACTTCATCTAACAATTGGTTCCATCAACCCTAGATTAAATGTTTATCTACTCATGGTAAAAAAAGAAAAAACCATAAAATCATTCATAATTCACAAAATAATGATAACAAGAAGAAGAATGAAAAACTCTAATGGTGTCTTTATCTTCACACACTTGTTCTTGCCTCCAATTGAGTCTAAAAACAAGCTTCTTTTTTCTTGGGCGAGTTTGTTGAGTTTATATAGGGTTAGGATGAGCTTTCCACGCTTTACACTTTAGCCCTTAAACTTTCTTGGGCGTCTCCAGATCGACCGCGGTCACGGGCATTTTAAACATTCTATTCTCCGCTTTTCTTTCACTGTGTTCCAGCCGCGGTCGCGGTGGACTGTTACCCGTTTTTCTTCGCCTTTTCTTGCTTGTTTTCATCCGGGCTCTTCTCGATTGGCCTTGTATCTACATAATTGACTCCAAAACACTCTATATACTCCTCCTAACTCGGAGTAGTTCCTGCAAAACATAAAAACCTCAATTAGAGCATTTTGTTATCATTTAGCACTTAAAACATCAATAAAGTATGGTTAACTTCGAACATAAATAACATCTACATCGTATAATATAGACTACTATCATACCTCATACCAAACAACCCCTTAGAGTTTAACTAATATGACGGTTTAAGAGTTTTACATTATCAAGTTATGTTTATCTATTGTAGCAAGTAATTTGTAATCTGCCTTATTCTAAAGATTATAAATTTACTTTTTATGGAGAATTATATGTAAACATTATTTGGCTAATCTAATAATTTATATAAGTTAAACTCTTTTTCTTACTAGTATTTTGTTAAGTCATTTGTTAACTTTAATTATTACGATTTAGGGATGTGATTATATCGATGAAATTTCTCCGTCCTAAACTAAAGGTCTTGAATAAGCCTTGAAAATAAAAAAAACTCTTGGTAAGAGACGATTCTCCCTTTAATGGGTCATATATGATGCGACTCTCAATTATTCGAGTCAGTAGGTTTCGAATAGCACTTAAGTATACAAAACAATAGAAGTAATTATTGATAGGATTTAGGGGTTGCTTCTCTATTTTATATGATATACTTCTATTATAGTATGTTTAAAGAGGAACGTTTATTTTTATTTTTAGAAATAATTTAACTTTAAATTTTTTTTTACCTCTTAATGATATGATTTTATAATAATAAAAATATCATAATACGTGTAAAATCACAAGTTTCAATTTTTCTTTTTTAACTTCCGTACTCGGTCAAACACTTTCATAGAGTACAACTCATTGAAAGTCGTTCAACTAGTGCGTTGTTAAACGTTCTACTGCAATTTGAATATTGTTTTCTTGAGAAAGTGATGATACTTGGATAAGTAAATTTTTTGCTTTTCTTTTTTTGGAATTTTGTTATGGTTATAGAAAACTTTTGTTCATGTGGCTAATATCTTAAGAAGCAAAAAGTGTAATGTCAATTGCACATTATCACGTTGTACACTATTTCCTACCACCTTTTTGGAAATATATCCTTTTCTTTTTCCTATTTTCAGTATATAGTGCACGTTCATTCGAACCAATATTTCAATACGCAATATAGATATATATTAAAAAATGACTAACATTGCAATGTATATTAGATATGAATATAAAATTTAAACGTACAATAAGTTTAATATCAAAAATTTAAAGATGGAACCTAAATCATTTAAAATCCTGAATTCGTCTCTACAAATACTTACTTGAAATTTATACTTTATTAGTAATATTTATCTCTAAGTTTCCTAAAAATTTATATTTTTACAAGAGACACATATATGATTCCAAACTGGACACTATAACTCGACGAAAGGGGCCTATGTGTTACAATGTTAATGGAAAAGGAATTGACAAATTAACGTAATAATTGTTCATCCAACCATTTAAATTAAAAATAACATGCATATGTGTATATATATAATTCATGTACATATATGTGTAATTATGTCTAATCAAGATATAATAAATAACAAATTTGTCTGTTTATTTTTGTTGAGGTTCCAAAATTAAGAGAATCTTAGTACGTAATGAAGGACCACAAGGAAACAAAGGAAGTGGAGGAATAAAGAGAAAAATATCCACTATTGACAATTTTTCTTTCTTTTCTTTTCTTTTTTCTTCTTTTGGGCGGGGTTGGAAAGGGAGGGGTGGTTTAAATGCGTACAATTAGGAAGTTGCCTAAGTTTGGAGAGATGCTGATAACATCAACACAACTAGTAGTATAAATACTAGCACTTAATATGAAAAGATCTACAGAATGGTTGTTAAAT